ATGGGAATGCTTGACTTGATAGATTAACCAGAAGCAGACCCCAAGTAACAGACAAATTTGCAGTGCATGTTTTAGCTTGATTCCTTTGGATCTTTGGTTTCTACTTGGTGATTTCTTGATCATGATGCCTTTAACTGAATCCTCTTTCTTTATATGCTTCCAATGTGTATTATAACTGCAGCTAGCCTACTTGCTAGCAATTATTAAGAAACAAAACGTGATTCCTAAATCAGTAGACGAATCAAGCAATTTAAATTAATAAAAAGGTTCCATGTTTCATCTGTTGTCCAACTAACTAACTTACATAAACATCTCATAGCTAACCCATCTCAAGAGCAAAGTAACTTAACCAAAATTCTAATATTTTCTACACCAAAATTCGAATTTTTTCTACCAAGAGAAAGACGATTCTGCATTTGAAGATCATCAAAGACCTTAGTTGATTATCCAGGCAACGACTACACATTGAAAATAAAACCTCATTTGATAACAGTACCCTGTTAATTTATTTCCCTATTCCCTTTTTCCATCCAAAAAAAAAGCTGAAGCAGCGTGAAAAATAGATTAAGAAATTAGCCTATTTTAACGTGAGCCATTTTGAAATGATTTTCTACAAAGTTACCAAAATGGAAAAGACTGAGAATTTATTTATTAAAAAATATATTCACAACTCTCTCTTGTTGTTACATCATTGAAGGAGATTGATCACCCGTATATCCCTCTTTAAGTTTCTATAAGTAACTAAGACATTTGACATCCCAAAGACTAACATTAACACTCAGCAATTGAAACGAACTAAGATTGTAAGCATTAAGAATAGCAACAAGATGGCATGTTTCTGGAGACAGGTCTTCTTTATTCCTCGAAAGACACTGTTTCGACTAACTTTCCTCAAGACTTGCCATTCAAAAAACATAAAACTTTTGTTCTGTGTCATTTTTACTATTTCCTCCTTATATAGATAGTGATCAATAACAGTAAAGGAGTTTTAATTCTTGTAGTATTCTCAGTTTCTCACTCCACCGGAGAGATTTAGAACCTTAAAACAACAATTTCACGATAAAAAAAATTCCTTTGCTACCAAACACAAGACCATCAATCCAGCACATCTTAGTATTAGAAAAAGGAGTAATGTTCACGCAAGCAAGGGAAAATTGGAAACACAAAGGTAAAATTAATCTGAAGTGGAGGCAATCCTACATCCGTCATTCCAAATTGCCCGAAACGAAAGAAAATACTTTTAGAGCAACTTAAGGAGAGTACGGAAACAGAAGGAAAAAAACGCGGTAAAGCGAGATTCTATAATCAACAAACAAGCAAACCCTAGAAATGCACAAACCACAGTCAAGACGAAAGCTCCACAACACTTTAAATAATCAGCCACAGAACCTGATAAAGTAAGTATCGGAAACGAAAATCCATCTTTCAAAATAGATTATTAGCACAGTATGGAGGAAACAACACAGAGACGAAACAGTGAACCCGCATGGTAACGGTAAACAGATATACGCAAGAGTTGGAGACCAGATTTGATAGAGTAAGTGAAAACGTGGAAGCGACGGTCAATGATGAGGTTTATAAAGCAGAGAAAATACCTGGAAGTTCTCTGAGTTGTGTAGTTGGAGAGAAGAAAATGCAGTGGGTCTGCACAGTTTCTTTCTTCCTAAGAGTGATGGGATCGGGATACAATTCGAAAAGCGGAGTATATCAGATGACTCGCGTACAGTATAATAATCTACTCGCCCCTTCATTAGTTGACGGTCTTCAGTTTTACACGGTCAAAGGGAAATCTTTACATGGGAGAAAATGTTACCGAGTTGAAGTCCTCTTTTTCGTTTAGGGTGTGTTCCCCCGCACTCCCCTTTTTTGTTGTCCCCTCAAAAAAAGCCTATATTCAAAAATTTATTGGAATTTTATTTTAACTTGGATGATATAATTTTTATTAAAAATAATACTAAATTTTATATAAATTTATCATGAAATTATTTTATTAAAAAATAACAAAATTTTTCAAATAAATTAGCTTAATTCATTCTATTAATATGTTTTTTTTTTCTTTCTAAACAACAATGTAGAAATAAAATCTAAAACATAATTATCAATCATGTTTAAAGCTATGTAGAGTTTAATTTTAAAAAATCAAATCGAAATTGACTGTTCGGAATAGAAAAGTTTTGTTTAGATAAATTATAATTTAGTTTTTAATTTTATATTTTTAAGAACAAAATTTTTGATTTAAATCCATTCAAATTGAGTAAACTAATATATAAAAAATTAATAATGTTATGAATAAAAAATTTTGAAAATGATAGAAAGAATATTTTATTAACAATAAAAGATATTTTTTAAAAAATAAATAAAATAGTTAATTGTAATTAGTGTTATAAAAAGATTATTGAAATGATTATTCATTTAATAAGCGCTGTGTTGATTAATTACAAATGAGGAAACATGTATCAATTAAAATTTAAATGAAAATAGGAAAGACATGAATGTCAGCCAGCCAGCTCTTTGATGTTTGTATTTAGTGACATCTCGTTTGAGTTCGGACAAAAGCTGTGATGTCGATGTGCTTCTCTTTCTAATAAGGATATATCAAATTGTCAATTATTTAATATGCTTATATACATGTATGTATGTATGTATGTATATATATATATATATATATACATAAACATATATTGGTAATTCTTTTTAGCCGAAAAAGGAAATCAATATGATAAATCAAAACATGAGAATTTTAAGGATATTGAAGAGTGGCTAAAAAGAAGGTTCTCAAAACAAATAAGAATTTAACAAGTATTATCAATGCTTTCCTAATTAAGGGCTGAATAATTTTATTGCCAATTAAAATTTATTCACATTAAATGAGTTTTTTACATAAAATATTAAAATACTAAATATATATTTTTAACATTTAAAATAAAAAAATTAATATATAAATAATATATTTAAAAATTAATTTTCTTTTTTTAGCAAATTCTAATCCACTTAGGTCCAAGACCGGATTGAATCAAAACTTTTTGATTTAGTCCCTTCTGGATAAATTATATCAGTTCAATCATTGGTTTAAGAAATTTTTTCTATTCAATTTTTGGTCGATCTGATTTTCAGATCAATGTTCATGCTTACCTTCTAACGCGGGAGGGTATAAAAAGGATCGAATCAACTACTTAAATTTACTCAACGTATGCAATACCGAAACTATAACCGTTAGAATAACTTCTCCCTCTAATTGAATTTACAATCTTAAAAGGAAAGTAAAAACAAAGACTCAAAAAAATAAATAAGAAAATGACAAACATCACAGACTTACCGACAAGTTGATTCTCGCTTTTTGGCTCAATAGGACTTCTGAAGACTCCTGCTTCCCGAAAAACTTAAGAAGAAAAGCTGAAGCTCACAAGAATTCTCTCAAATTTATTCTCAAAAGATTTTGTTTACATCATAGAACAAATGTCTATTTATACCATTTTTCGGATAATTTAGACGAGTAAAAAATTTTGAGATAATTAATAAAATAATAACCTAAATAAAATCATATCTTAATCTATGATAATTATATAATAAAAATAATTATTCTATCCTAAATAAATTAATTAAATAATCCTAAAGGATATAATTACAGTAAAATATTAATTAAAATAAACTTATATTTATCTAATATAAAATCCATTTTAAACATACGTAGAAATTAATTTTAAAACATGGATAATTTAAAAAGAGGGTCCCAAGCTTTTTAAAAATATTTTAA